CACTCACACACACAACACACACACAGAAGAGAACACATTTGTTTGCTTCACAACACTAGGGATAGAACCAAGAGCCTCACCCATGCTGAGCAAGGAACCTATGACTGAGCCACACTCCTCTCACTCTACGCCCCCATCCCCCACCCCCAGCCCTGCCTGGCCAGCATGTCTTACTACCTATAAATCATGGAATAGCAAATCTTGGGTTGTGATGTAGCTCAGTGGTAGAGCACTTGCCTTGCATGTGGTGCAAGGCCCCGGGTTCAATCCCTAGCACCATAAAAAAAAAAAAAAAAGCTCATGAGATAGCAAATCTTATCAAAATACATAACATACTCTTTTTAGTCAGTTCTGTGCTAATGGTGACAGTTACATAATAGATGTGAGTTAATACTACTTAGAACCTTACATTTTAAGGAAAAGGTTTTTGGCATTAGCCATTAGCTAGCCAGGGCAAATAGTTTGAGAGACCCTATCTCAGAAAAACCCATCACACAAAGGACTGATGGAGTGGCTTGAGATGTAGGCCCTGAGTTCAAGCCCCAGTACCGCACATACAAAAAAAAAAGATATCATTAAATTAGAACAGTATATTTGCAATTGATAAAATATAGTCTTAAGATTATAAAATCCTTAAAATACAGAGAACTGGCTGGTGTTGGTGCTACATGCCTGTAATCCTAACTACTTGGGAGGCTGAGATTAGGAGGATCATGATTTGAGACCATCCTGGGCACACAGTTTTCAGACCCCCTCTCCAAAATAACCAGAACAAAATGAACTGGAGGTTTGGCTCAAGTGGTAGAGCACATGATTTGCAAGTACAAAACCCTGAGTTAAAACCTCAGTCCCACCAAAAAAAAAGAAAATACAAAGAACTTTGATAAATCAAGAAGAAAATCCAATATCCTAACAGAAAAATAGTCAAGAGATATGACATTCCTGAAGAAATGCAAAATGTAAGCTAATCTATGTAAAGATATGCAGCTCAACTAGTATTTTAGAAGCATTTTAAGTGACTTTCAAACACACTTAGCAAAAAGCAAACTACTAATTTTATAAAAAAGGAGCAATAGTTTCTCTCACCTGGTACAACAGGTACCTTTTTAGTAAACAAGCATCAGAAGTAGGTCCCCCCCTGCCATCAGATACTCTTTAAGACACGATCCTTAGGTAAAAGAGTCATGAGGGCTGTGTACCATTTATATCAATCAGGCTCTTGATTGGATAATCAACACGGATTCTCACAGGGCCAAAGGGGGCTCAATCACCAGATTTGATTTTTTTTAATCTGTCCGATTATGTGAATTACCTATAGATCATTCTATACACATTGAAGAAACTGCTAAGGACAGACAGGGGTAATTGTTTAGAGCATTTCACTTGAACATCCTATAAAAAAGATAATAGTAGGAACAGGAAATGGAAGGTCCGCTTCCCTTGGCTGGCCTTTACCTGGGTTTCACCTGCTGAGGGCTTGGTGAAGGTGTTACTAGTAAGCAGAGGTAACTTACACCTGCCACATACTTTATTCCTGAGTTTCCTAAGACCCACCTGGATGCCCTTGAGAGAGATTTCCAGGTCCCCCATGTCTAGTGTCTAATTCCAACTAAAGAGGCCTGCAAGGGCTGGGGCATGACTCAAGAGGTAGAGCACCTACCTAGCAAGCACAAGGTCCTGAGTTCAAACCTCAGCACTGCCAAAAACCAAAGCTTCTCAGGAGCTCTGCGGGGACCAGGAATGCACGTTTCTCACAGGCCACCCGTGCCCCAGTGAGGGTATCCTTAGCATTCTGGGTGCTGTTCATGATAAACATGTAGGGTGAGGTGCAGGAGGGTTGGCACTTGTTCACTGACAAATAATTTCACTAACAAAACCTTAGAAAGTATACACTAGAAGAGAAAATAGTTCTGCATAGAAAAAATATTGTAAGACTGGGGACCCATGGCTCACACCTGTAATCCTAGGCCAGCCCTCACGACAGACTTTTTTAAAACAATTTTTTTTCAGCATGCTGTAATCCTAGCTACTCAGGAGGCAGAGATCAGGAGGATCATGGTTCGAAGCCAGCCTGGGCAAATAGTTTGCAAGACCCTATCTTGAAAGAACCCATCACAAAAATAGGGATGGTGGAGTGGCTCAAGGTGAAGACCGAGTTCAAACCCCACTACCGAAAACAAACAAACAAATTAGAGCCTAAATGCTGCCTCCTGTATCAAACCCTGAGACACACTAAGCAGACTGGGGCTGTCCTGAAGTTCAAAGCCCTGTTTATGTGTTAAACCTCTAGTCTAGTACTACCGTACTTGGCAGTTGTAGGAACTTAAATGGTTAAAAGATCCGTGGATATGTGCTTGACTGAGTGAAAGGGGAACAGATATAAGTTAGTGGCCAAACCACTGAGTTCAATGAAGGGTTTTTGAACTTCATTGTAAAGCAGAGTTCACTAGGGAAGAAGGGGACTCCGGAAGCAAAGGTTAGCATCTCTCCTGCATGTGATCAGCTAATGTCTTTTGGAAAGTCTTTTTGGGAAAGTCAAAATGATGCCTATTGAGGTGGGTGTGGTGGCATGTGCCTGTTATCTCAGCTCCCAACCACCCTCGAGGTTGAGGCAGATCACTTTTTTTTTCCCCCCCGTGCTGTACTGGGGATTGAACCCAGGGCCTCTACATGCTAGGCAAGTGTTGTGTCACTTGAGCCATGCCCCAACCCATTTGGTTTTGAGATAGGGTCTTGCTAACTTTGTCCTGTGATTGTCCGGTAATACTACCTCCACTTCCTGAGTAGCTGGGATTACAGTCATGGCTTAAGACAAAGTCACTTTAGCACAGGAGTTCAAGATGAGCCTGGGCACAAGGAGCCATTATTACCAAAATGACCACTACAACCCAAGCTTCATTTATGGCCTTTAATCACTCTGCTTCTGTCTCTAAGCAGTGATGAGCAGCTCGTGGTTCATGAAGTCCTAATGGAGCATCTTATTCCAATAGTGATGGTAATTCACTACTTGTAGGTAGGGAAAACAGTGTCCACTTAAGAAAAAGTATGTAAGGAGTGTATTACTTTCAAATATTTAATTAAGAGGTAAGCCTCCTTTGTGAAACCCTTAAACACCTGTGAACTACACATAGAGAAAGGGTTTTGGTCGGCAGTGAGCCAGTATGCACCTGCCTGCTTTTTATAGCCTCATTTTGTTATTTCTCAAGGAAGGGGAAATGCGTTGTGAATTTTTTTTTTCAGGGCCTTGTGCTTGTGAGACAGGCATTCTACCACTTGAACCAGTCAGCTTTTTTTGCTTTAGTTATTTCTTGAATAGTTTTTTTTTTTTCGTGTATGTGTGCGTGTGTGTGGGATTGGGGTTTGAACTCAGGGGTTCATGTGTGTAAAGCAGGCACTCTACCACTTGAGCCATGACCCTAGTTCTCAAATAGGGTCTTTATGTCTAGGGCCAACCTGAACCAAGATCCTATTTACACTTCCCACATAGCTGGGATGACAGGTGTAGCCACCACATCCAGCTTTTTTTGATTGAGATTGGTGGAGGGGGGGTCTTCCTGTTTGCCTGGCTGACCTCGACCTGTAATCCTCTTGATCTTTGCCTTCCAAATAGCTAGGATTATAGGTGTGAGCCACCACAATCAGCCCAATGTGATCAACACTTGGACCATCTTAAATATATTCAAAGCACAGTATTTTTTTTTTTGAGTGTATTTCCTAAACAAGCTGAAATTCAATACTTTCTTCAAAAATAAAACCCATCTGGTTTTGCCCATTAAATCACCCTGGTATGGTCCAGACTAGAAACTAGCCTGACGTCCAGTGAAACATTAGCCTCAGCTTCATTTACAATCCTCCTCTGGCTCCTGGACCATCACCAGCTTCCGGCTCCATCAGCCAGCTGGGAGTGGGTTCCATATACATACACTTTTTGGTGGTACTAGGCTTTCAATTTAGGGCCTCTTGCTTTCAAGGCAGGTACTCTCCCAGTTGAGCCACCCTCCTAAGCCTCACTGTATTTAAGCCTTGGGAAACCTCATACCATGGTTTGGACATTTTTTCACTATAATGCAGAAGCATCACCAATCCCTATGGCCTTCCATTGTCAAAATACTGGCATATCTCAGCCAAGAAACTTAACTATTTTTTTCAACAAAGAACTTCACATGTGTGCTGGATGCCAGAATAGAAGGTAAATACCTTGAAACCTTGAGTTCAAACTCCAGTGCTGCCTAGAGGATGGGGGGATGGCCCAGGTGGAAGAGCACCTGTTTAGCAAGCACAAGGCTCTGTGTTCAAATCCCAGTAACAAGAAAAACAAAAAACCCAAAACAAAAAATACTACAGCTATCCCTAGAAAATTTATTACGTAGAGATTAGCATGATTATACATTAGTTTGTTCTACAGAGCAGTCACCTTTGGATAAGTCAAACAAGTCTATTTCCCTTAGAGCAAGTCCATTGTTGACCTCCTGCAGTACCTGAAGTGGACATTCATTTTTACAAGTCTGAAAGGACAGTGGGATTATAAGTAATTTTGAATTTTAGCAGTTTCACAATTTCAAATATTATCATGGGCTACTAAAAAAAGCAAAAGTAGCAAGGTCCTCCAACTTAAAAGGACTCTAAAGCTTCCATTCCTAGTTTCTGAACCTCATCATCTTGGGAAGCTGGTTTCACTGTGGCCTTCTGCAGACAAGCACATTCCTGTTGCTACAGGTACTTAAAAACTTTTTGCTGAGAAGCACTGACTGCTTACTTGGGCTCACAAACTAAGGAGAGCTTGACACCTGTCTCCAGTTTATATCTCTTTGCTCTGGGCCATTCTCTTTGGAGTCACTTTGGGTTCCAGGAAGGACAGGACTGATTGGTATCTTTATAAGAGATGGAGGAAAGTGCCCCTAAAAGAATAGAAGCTGGGTGCAGTGGCTCAGGCCTGTAAACCCAGTTACTTCAGCAGCAGAGATCAGGCAGATCACAGTTTGAAGCCAGCCCAGGCAAATACTTTGAGGGTAGAGTGGCTCAAGTGGCAGAGCACTTGCCTAGCAAGTGTGAGGCCCTGAGTTCAAACTCCAGTGCAACAACAACAAAAATCAATAGCAACACCTCTAGGAGACCCATCTGCAGAGGCCAGTCTCTCACAATAGCTTCCAATTACACACTCCTCTCAATTCTGTTTGAACAACATCAAGTGTCAGTTCTGAGATGGCCTGAAATGTTACCTTTTCTCCTCCTGTGCCACAGTAAACCATAAACCTTTCTCTGCCCATCACCATTATGGATCTTTATTTGGGATGTTGGGGCATGTGGCTGGACTTGACCTATGGAACCCAGGATTTGGGTTTGGGGGCCTATACCACCTGCAATACTGCAAACCCATCACTCACTACTAGGGATGTGTACCCCAATTCCAATGCACTGAAAAGCTGGGCACCTATAGTCACTGCCTGCCTCAGAGTGTGTTGGATCACTTGAGCTGTGCTTACTGCAACCTCCCCAGCACTGCTGCACCCGTGTCCACTGCTGCACTGCGTGCCATGGAGGGTGCCGCAGGGCTCATAAAAGGAAGGCCTATAAACCCCTTTGTCAACATAAGCCGATAAATTGTTAAGGAGATCTAATATATTAGCTGTCTAAAATAAAAACCTTAAGAGCCAATGACGAAAGGGGTCACATCACAGATGCCGAGTGAAATCAAGAAGTTTGGGGATAAAATGTCTATTCAGAGCAAACGTACTTTAATACAAAAACACAACCACAGAGAAGCACTTCCTCCTTGACTACATTAGCAAACACAGAAAAGCAATTAAAAATAGATTTTACTTTGAATCACTGGCTTTTACAAATAGGAAAGCACATCAGAGTTACCTGTGGAGGTTTTAGAAAACATTTAAGTTTTGGTCTCACTCTTGGAGAACACTGAAGTGGGGGTTAGGATCTGAGTATTTTTACTTTCTATTTTTTTTTTCCCTTCCCAGTGCTGGGGATGGAAGTCAGGGTCCTTGGGCACGCCAGCAAGTGCTCTACCACTGAGCTACCTTTCCCGCCCAGGACACAAATCATCTTTTATCGGAGGCAGGGTCTCACTACACCTTGACCCACTCCACCAGTCTTATTTTTGTGATGGGTTTTTTGAGATAGGGTCTCTGGAACTATTTGCCTGAGCTGGCTTTGAACCTTGATCCTACTGCTTTGCCTCCTGAGTAGCTAGGGTTATAAGAGTGAGCCACTGGTGCCCAGTCAGCCTAAGTATTTTTAAAGCTCTTCAGGTAACTCTGATGTGTCCTTTGGTGGAAGCAGTAATTTCAGGTTGATTGGGCCACTTTGGGAGCTTTTGGCCCCTGTTTGGGGGTGTTGGGAGTTTTCTTTGCAGAATTCCTAGAATTGGCAAAGAACTTGGCCTCTGGCTTTTTTGGAGTCTGTCTCTGGTCTTTTTTCCCCAGTGAGGCGCTTCTGTCCTTTGCCTTCGGTTCCATCTTTAGCTTCTTCTCTGGGCCTTTACCTGGGGCCCCAGGCTCTGCAGCTGTGGATGCCTCACCAGCAGCCAGGACCTTTCTCTTCTTGCCACCAGGTATGTTGGGGCCAGGATTCTTTTTTGGAGACTTCTTTCCTGTGGTATTTTTCAGTATCTAAGAAAAAGAAGAAAATTATGCCTGGAACAGAACAATATCTGCAAACAGCAGTATCTGCATGCAATTGCAGGAGCCATTTGGTGTTTGATTGGCTACCCTCAGGTCAGCCTTGGCAGGAGGAGCTGAGAAGGCCGCTTCCATGACTGCAGGCATTACTCAGTACTTCGGGAAGGAAGTTCCTGGGGTTTGGCCTAGCATTTTTCATTCATAGTCACTCAGTATAGTGCCTGTCTGCCACCCAGTGGCCACTGAGCCATTCAGTATGAGTATTAAATAGCAATAAAAATACCTCACTGTTTTCTTTAGCTGGAGTGTCTGCTATTGGTACCAGTTGTGGAATTTCATCTTCGGCTTCGTCTGTCACTTTAGATCTGCCTTTTACTCTGCCAGTTCTTTTCTTCCGGGCCTCAGAGCCCTTCACTGGAACGCCAGTAACTGAGGCGGGTAGCAAGTCATCTAGAGATAGGATCGATTCAGCAGCATTCTGAGCCTTTCGCTTCAACTTCCTGTTTTTCTTCTTTTGTTTTTCACGACTTCTCGCCCCCTCCTACCCAAGAACAACAGACAAGAGTTAGCACTTGTAGCTCAGATTGTTAATAAGCTGCCCGTAAGAGCTTTGACCTGTACAAACAGAAGGCCCAATGAGCATCCGCTCGAACTTAACTCCACTTTGTGCGTTGTTTTTGTTTTTGAGGCAGTCTCACTATGCCATCCAAGATGACCTCACAACTCTGGATCCCTGCCTCAGACTGAGGTTAAAGCACTGCAGAGTTTACATAGGCGGAGTTGCAGCTCATGTAATTTACAATGTTAAATACCATCTACAGCAGCACTCAAATTCCATTTTAACCTCTTCTCATATCGACCTCCATTGAATCTGACAAAGAACACAAAATTGGATTTCCTGTTTCCAGTAACAGCAATCTGTATTACTTTTTTTTTTTGGTGGTACTGGGGTTTGAACTCCGGGCCTCACACTTTCTAGGCAGGTATTCTCACCACTTGACCCACTCCTCCAGACCCTAGTCTTTGCTATCTTGGATCACCTTTCCAATGAAAACAAATTAAAAAAAAAAAAATGTGTGAAAACCAATTTTTTAAACTCTCCCTAAAAGCAGTGATAAGTGGTTACACTGGTGAGAAATTAAAGTAAGAAATCCAAGGAATAATGACACAGCTATGTGAGACAGGAAGCAGAGACAAATTGAATTCCAGTGTCCATACTGGGAAGGGATTCTACGAGTCAACCCTAACCCCCACTGTACTCTGGGAACCCAAGGAGTTGCACCTCATGGTGAAGATGACCAGGAAGAGGAGCCTTATGGCTGTGGTCTGGTTTGAAACACCACAGAACCTCCATCCTTGAATGTGTTTTAGGGGGTCCTGGGCTGAGAGAGCACTGAGGTTCCCACCTGGAAGCAGTAAAGCAAACTCTCTGCAGAAAGCTTTCTCCGTGCTACATATGAAATCATTTCTTTAAGTAACTGTCAAATGCAGTGATTAAAAAAAAAAAAAAAAAAAGCAGGGGCTGGGGTAGTGGATCAGGGGTAGAGCACCTGCCTAGCAAGCCCAAGGCCCTAAGTTCAAACTCCAGAACCACCAAAACAAAAACAAAAACAGTTAAAAAAGAAAAAAAAGCTAGACTATTGGCCACCAACATGAAGACGTCTCTTTGAATCACACACCCACAAAGTAAAGAAGTAAAACAACCTGGAAGGTTACTAATTAACAATATACCAGAACCAAATAACTTCTAGAACTAAAATGAAAAAGCAAAATTTAAAACACACTGGTAGTGATTAGACAGTTAAAGAGAGTAAGTTAACAAATGAGTCAAAAAACAGCATAAAACTGAACTTTTTTTTTCCGTTCTGGCTTCTTTGGCAATCACATCAGTAGCATTAAAAGCCTCTGGTAGCCCAATACAGCCTAAACTTTTCCCCACTGCTAGGAATGGACAAGGGCCTGATGCATACATGCTCCATCCTGGAGCTTCGCCTCCAGCCCCAGTCACTGAAAGCAGAGAAGCTAAAAAACAAGAGTTTGGTCTTTATCTTCGTTCTTTCTGTACAGGCCCCTTCTAAATCTATTTAGTCATTTTAAGATGAAAAACTAAAATATCTACTTATCAAGAAATGCAAGATATTTCTATCTAGAGAAGATCTTTGTTGTTGTTGTTATCTTGTGCTGCTAGGGATCAAACCCAGGGCCTTGCCTATGCTAGGCAAGTGTTCTACCAGTGAGCTGCACTCCCAGCCCTAAGATATTTCTACCTTAATGTCCTTTATTCATACCAGTATCAACTCATCTCCTATGGGTAATACAACAATGACCACGAAAGCAAAAATCTAGTAAAATGGAAACTAATAAAAGACACTGAAATGTCAGGCAGGAATGGCAACTATGTTCCATCTGCTGGAGCCAAGTTTACTCTTAATTATTAACTCCATCCGGTATTTAAAAGTGTACTCACTACTCTTCTCCTCACTTCATGGAAGGACACTTTGCTGCTTTCATCCACACAGCTCACAAACGAGGAGAAGATGGGGAGGGAAACAGACTTCTCAGTTTTCACAAACAGGAGCTTGACACTCTGCCACTTCTGAAACAAAGAAAAGAATGTTACCCATTAAAAAAAAAAAAAAAAAAAGAATGTTACCCATGTACACTTGGCTTGGCTTGAATGACCAACCAACCTACATGTGTGCCTGTCAGCGCATACCTCTGGCAACTTTCTCGCCAGGTTTTCTGCAACGGCAATGATGTTTTCAGTGATGTCCTGAATCTGCATCCCAGTGTGCCCGATGCGGATAGAACTGGAATTTAACACAACGTTAAGCAAAGATTTTAAAGATAACCCTTCAAAATAAAGCACAGGCAGCTGTGATAAACAGAAATACGTAATCTGCTACAATCTTTCATAAAAGGCACAAACATTAAAAATCTATTTTTACATTTTCAGTAAGTTTTATAGGAAGATTATCACCTTTCATGTTTTAGAAATTCCTTCCATGAAATAAAATGCCACACCACAAAGAAGTGATTCAAGAGCTGCCACCTGCCAATTGACTGTGAGGCAGGAGGATCAGTAGGTAGGGCCAGAGGTTCACCTTCATGCTAGACAGTCCGTAGGTGAATGGGTGAACCCTGCAGCAGTTCTGAGCGCAATCACCTCTAGGGCATCACCTGCTACTTTATAATCATGCCCTAAGAGTTCTGTCCCTGTCCCTTGCAAAGATCAAGACCATCCTTAGCTAAAGCTGAGAACAGACACCATGTGGTAGCCCACAGGCTCCGGCTTAGCTGGTCAGTCTGCCCTGCCAGTCCACGCTCCACTGGGAAAGCAAAGGCAGGCTCACTGTGGTGACAACAGTGCAGGAGGATGAGACAGCCCCCGCCTACCAGAGGCCTGCTCACTTCCTGCCTGCACACATAGCCTCAGCTTCCCAGGTAGGAAATGGCAAGAAGGAGGACAAGGGAAGAGAGAGAGGTCAGCAAACTATTCTATCAGGAAAAGGTAAAAAACATACAAATTATTCCGTAGTTGCCTGAAACCTTCAAGCTGTTTTTGTTTTTTTGGGTTTTTTTGGGGGGTGGGGTAGGGTGTGGGAGCTTGGAAAAATCCTAGTAGAGAAGACTGCTACTTTTGTCTCTTCCCAGCTACTTACTGATTCCCTGAACAGGCCTCTGACTGACAATGGCCTATAATCAAGGACTGCAGGTCCAGGCCCAATAACCAACTCGTCTTGGCTACTTAGTTGCACCCAATTAAGGGGCTTCCCTGCCTGAGATAGTAACACTAGAGCCCAACTGTGCTTTACTTGGAGACACAATGTATGGTTATATTCTTTGCCCATGAAGGGTGGGAAGCAATCAGTACCCTCAAAGGTCTTTTCTGGCATCTAAATCTAGGAGCCAGTCTAGATGCACGCAGCTTAGTATCCTGTGTAACACTGTAACCGAGAAGAAATAAGACACTGGACGTCTGTTTTCCAAGAAATCAAACTAAGACTGAGGTAGATCTTACCTTTATAGGACAACATGCAAACCCCAAAACTATTAATGCTCTAAGCATTAATCTGTTTTCCTTGCTTTCCTTAGTATCTGGAGCCCTGTCCATATGGTACCCAATGCCGCTAAGAAAGTATGCCCATCTAACAGGGTCCTTTAAAAATGGGAAAGACCACTACCAAATGTGAAAGAGAAGCGAGCACCGTGCCTACCTGCAAAGAACCACTTTTGGAGATGTTTAAGACAGTCCCACCCACAGCTGCTGATCTCTTTGGACCAAATTCTTGCCAGAGGTTCACAGGTACTGGAACTCTTACAAAAACACAAGGCATCAGCACACAGTGCACACTCACAACCTGTTAATCTCAATGCTGCCAAGTGAACGTCACCGCTAGAAACTTACTTCTTCCTTGATAGAAATGTCTCCCTATGTGTGAGGGTAAGAAGCCGCCTGATTCTTTCATCAGCAAGGAAGAAATCAAAACACCCAGGAGCCTGAGCTTGGCCTCATACGCTTTGTACTCAGTTTTAAAGCTTGGAAAGGGATTATCTAGAAATATAAAGAGCAAAAATACAAACATTAAGAGCACGACAAGAAGAAACTTCGTGAACAATTTGTATTCAGATTTAATTGTCTGCTCCCCCACTGGCTTAGCAAAGGTACTATGCTGAATGTTAGGACACTGACAAATGAGCAAGAACTAGGTAAAGATTCAGGGGTAGGCTGAGCATGAGATTACCCCATCCTAATCCCTACTGGGGGACAACAGAGGGAAGTTTAAGGCCAGCCGGGCACTTAGCAATGTACATATCATTTCACTTAATTAATCCTTGAAATGACCTGAAATATCAACCTGCTTCCTACCCGAGAGATGGTTTTAATTCCATGCTCTTCAAAAGCTTTCTATAGAAACGTTCTGTCTCTTTCAGACGATTTGAGTTCATCCTTGGTAAATAAACAGATTCTGCTAAATCTGACAGAGTACTATGGAAAAGACCTGCAAAAACATGAGAAGGAACCAGGGAATCAGACGGTGTACACTACCCACATATTACATTTATGCACTTTAACAACTTCATGCTATTTAGCAATACGCACCGAGAGCAACATTTAGAAATACATCTGAAAGGGACCAGGAACTAGAGAAAAGGTTTAGATCAAAAAGAATTAACCTAGAAGGAACACCCCACGCACAGGAAATCAATGTGAGGTCAAGCCCTGTATAGCTATCCTTATCTCAACCAGCAAAAACCCCTTGTTCCTTCTATGAATTCTTATACTCTTCTCACAACAAAATTAAGATAAGGCAAAATAGTTTCTGCTGGGTATTTGAGGGGGAGCGGGAGGGGGTGGAGTGGTGGTAAGGGACGGGGTGGGGCAGGGGGAGAAATAAACCAAGCCTTGTTGCACATATGAATAATGAAAAGAAAATGAAAAAAAAAAAAAAAAAAAAAAAAAAAGAACTTTACCTTTTGGGAAACTCTTAGCTCCATAAATAACATAATCCAGTTAGAAAAAATAGAAAACATGGAGCAAAACAGAGGGACCAGCAAACATGCACTGTCACATTGAGTCTTGAAAAACAAAACGTTTTTAACTCGTTTTATAGGCCTACATGTTCTGAATTATCATTTCCTTGAGAAAAGATAGCAGCCTGGCATGATGGTGCATGCCTGTAATTCCAGCACTTGAGAGGCGGAGGCAGGAGGATCCAGAGTTCCAAGCCAGCCTGGGCAACAGATTTTAAATTGTCTCACAATGCCCACCCAGCCAGGTGCTAGTGGCTCACGCCTGTAATCCTAGCTGCTCAGGAGGCAGAAGTCAGGAGGATTACAGTCAGAAGTCAGCCTTGGGATCCTATTTCAAAAAACTCATCACAAAAAAAGGGCCGGTGGTGTGACTCAAGCAGTAATATCGCCTGCCTATTTTAAACAGTCTCTGTAAAGGAGTGAATCCAGGCCCTTAGATATTTAGTTTGATATAACAGATCCTATTAAAAAAAGATCTGAATTTGTACTGTTCTTTTAAGCAGGTTCATTTATCTCAATTTTTGAGTTTGCAACTTTTCCACCGGAAGCTCGGAGGCAAGTGTTAAGTTACATAGAATGAACAAGCACATAAAAATAGCAAGGACAGAAAAGTAGAACTTACAATTTGATTCTCAGTTCTTTTTCTGGAATTTTCCATAACACCACCATTAAAAATAAATTTTCCTTCTCATTCAAAAGCAATGCATTATTGCTTTTTCTAGATCTGCAATGTGCCAACAGAGCTTCTACTGCCTTTCTAACCTGCAAAATGTAAACCCACAAATACGTTAAAATTTTTGAATCTAACATTTGCCCCTTTCCTCACATATATACATAAATACACATATATACACCTTTGTCTTCTTTGCTCCACCTATTTTAATAGGCATTCTCCACAACTATACTGGGATTGTGCAATTTATACTCAGAGCAACGTTAGGAATTCATCAAAAAGTTAGGTGCCGGTGGCTCATGCCTGTAACGCGAGCTGATCCACGAGGCTCGCATTTCAAGACTAGATGGGCATACAGTTCGGGAGACTCCCATCTTCAAATAACGGAAGCAAAAAGGACTGGAGGTGTGGCTCAAGCGGTGCAGTGCCTGCTTTGCAAGTGCGAAGCCCTGAGTTTAAACTCCAGTCATTCTCCACCCCCAACCAAAAAAAAAAAAAAAAAGAATCCACCAAAAAACGCCTCCTCAGCTAGGCCACACCTGTAATTCCTGGACTCGGGAGGCTGAGGCCAGCCTGTGCTTCTTAGGGATACCAAAAAAGCCAGCACCTGTGTACAGGGCTGGGGGTGTGACTCAGCTGGTGGAACGCCTGCCCAGCAAGCGCGGGATCCTGAGTTCAAACTCCAGTACTGCCAAAATAAAAGAAAGACGCTGGGGTGTGTGGCTCAAGTATCACGCGCCTAGCATGCGCGTGAGGCCCTGTATTCAATACCCAGAACCACAAGAAAAGACAACAGCACCTGTGTATAGAAAGGCGCCTTTTCTACATAGCTCCCCCGCCCTCAAGGAGGACAACATTAACATGGGGACCAGCACAGCCGAGACGCCACCAGCATTTACTGAGAACTAAGCGCCAGGCACGTGTGATCCTGGATAGTGAAGGGCAGAGAACTCTTTTTCAAAAGCACGTAACAGGCTGGCAAAGTTAAATGACTTGGCCCAGTTCAATGCCACCCCGATATCCTAAGTCACACATGCAACCCAATTCAGGAGAGCCACGTCGCGGAACTGGGGAAATGGGCGGGCCAGTTGAGGTGCACCTCCAGCAAGGAAATTCTTAGGACCTGTGGGGCGTCCACTCAGGTCAGTTGAGGGGCCGGTACCAAGTTTTCAGGCCTTTCCACCCTACATGCACCCCACACCTCACCAGGGCCACAGGCACCCCGCTTCTGAACCACCCTCCCCGGCAGCCACTCGCCTGATTCTCGTCCAGGTGCTCCAGGGTGGTCGGGTCCGCCGGAGCGGAGGTGGGGGTTGCAGCGGAGGCTGAGGCCGAAGGTGGTACAGAGCCCGAATCCTCCATATCGCGCTCACCTCGTGCATACGCGCGTGCACACAGCGTGAGCTGGCACGTTGTGCGCATGCGCGAGCGAGGCCAGGAACCGGAAACCAGGGGGCGTAATGGCCGATCTTGTGCGTCACTTCCGGGAGGGCGCGCAGATCGCTTCCTGGGCGCGGCGCAGTCGCGGTTCACAGGGCGTGTGGAAGCTTATTCCGGCTGGTTGTTAGAGTTGCTTCGCGGTAATGGCACCTCTCCTTCTGTCTGCTCCCGCGCCGCAGGAGGCGCGGGGCATGACGACACCTCTCATTTTACACGAAGGAAATCGAGAAAGCGACTTGAGGTGGGAGAAGAGCCCGGACCCGGAACCCAGTGGGGGTCCTTCTCTGTCCGTGGTGTCCCGACTGCACCGTCCACCTGCTGGGTGGCTTGGTGCGTCGCCTCCCGCAGGCTGGCTGTGTATTTTGGTATCTAGTATAAATTGTGGTTAGTTCTGGCACAGTGTTATGGATTGTTACATTGGGCTTTGTGTATCAACACTTTGTGGTTTACTCGGATATTCTGTCATCTGAATTCGATTTCTGGGAACGGGGTTTCTGGGCCAAGGAAATGACATGAATTCAGGTGAAAGAACCTGGAGGTGTTTGGAAACACCTGGCTGGAGCAGGGGCAGTGCCAAGGGGAAGAATGGGAGATGAGGCTAGCAAGTTCGTTAAGGAATTCGTTTGTTATCAAGCTATGGTTTATACTTTGGAGAAATCATAGAAATTCAAGGTCTTTGAACTGACGGCAAGAGGGAAAGGAAGGGAGTGATTAATTGTGCCTTAGGAAGGTTAATCCTCTAGTTGTGGTATCGTTAAAGATGCGTCCTCCATCATGAAGTCTGATACTTCTTGCCTCAACTGATGGAGCTTCAGTCCCCTCCCTTGAGTTGGACTGGTCTTAGTGACTTGCTTCTTTCAAATATACTATAGCAGAGGTGATAGACTTTGGTTACCACCTTAATCAGTCTTTCCTCTGTCTTCCTTCCTCACTCACTCTCTTGTGAGGCAGCCCTGGAGAGAGGAAAGCCAGCTGCCATGTTGTGAGGATACACAGGCCACCTGTCAGCAGCCATGTGGACGAGCCTGAAAGTGGATCCTCTGCGAGTGGAACCTTAACATGACTGCATTGTCCTGTGAGACACTGAGCTAGAATCAGCCCTGTGCTCTGGGAGGTCTCACCCACAGAAACTCTGAAATGGTGTTTGATATTTTAAGCCACTAAGTTGGGGTAGTTTATTAGCCATTAACAAATATTTAATAGAGGTTTGCAGACCTCCTGTTTTCAGATACATCCACTTATTCACCTGTCTTCACTTAGAAGTCCTGTTAGGACTTCACCCTCACCAAGTCAAACCATGAAGTCATTTTCATTGCCTCACACCTGCTCCTCTCTTTGTTTCCTGCCTCAGTCATTGGTACCACCAAGCCAAATACAGGAATTATTTTTAACTCTTTTCTCCTTATTCTCCAAATGTGATTAATAGTCTTACCTGTTCCTTTTAACTGTGTCGTGGATTTACCCAATTCTTTTTACCCTGTCACATTACAGTGCAGTCTGTTATTATTTGACCTACATTATTGACCTCCTGTCTTTCCTTCCCATCTCTTCATTTGGCATCTTCAAGTCCATTGTCTGCCTTTCATCTGGGGTGATCTTTTATTGTTTGGTGGTACTGAGGTTTGCTAGGCAGGTGCTATAACACACAGGGCACTCTGCAAGCCCTTTTTGAGTTGTTTATTTTCTAGATAGGGTCTTGCAAACTATTTGCCCTGGCTGGCTTCGAACTGCAATCCTCCTGATCTCTGCCTCCTGAGTAGCTAGGATTACAGGCGTGACTTACCAGCATCCATCATAGTAAACTGCAAATGTGGTCATCTCAAGCCCAGTCATGCTTAGCCACCTTCCCTGGATCATGACTGTCACTAGAATGAGGTATTTATTCCATAATTTGCCTGCTTTGCATCTGTTGTGTGGTATCCTATCTAGCTTAGCATTTGTCTTAGGAAAAAGTGACCCAATTTGAAAAGTAAATCATATGGTCACGCTCAAATCATATGGTCATGCTCTGCATGTGGCCTCTCCCTTATCGCCTCCCTAATGTCATCCTGCCACTCATCCCATCGACTGATGGCCCTAGTTTCATCTCTGCAGTTTCCACTTGTTTCAGCCTTCCAACATACTGGTTGGAACAACATTCTTCTTGGAACACTACCACCTTCCTGCACCACCACCCCCAGCCCCACATGCATTGACTCATTCTTCTGATTTCTGCTTCAAGTTAACTTCTGGAAACTTCTTGCTCAGGTTCTACTGCTCTCCAATCCCAAGACATTTGTAGTTTTCATAACATCTTGGCTAGCCCCTTCTTGAGGATAAGCTCTGAGAGGGCAGGGGAGAGCCAATTAATAGTAGGAAAACTGTAAATGGCAGCTTTCATTGTTCTTTAGCATCAACCATATATGACATAGTGTTTTAGAAACTGAACAATGTATTAGAATGGCTCAGGGCCTAGGGAGTTGAGAAGAGGAAACTGGTTTTCTAGGTAGTAAGGTCTTTTGGTAGGGGGAGAGTAGTGAGGACAAAGTACCCACAAGACTTGACCACAACTTGGAGAAAGAGGGAGAGAAATTCAGATTTCTCCTGAATTCTTGAGCCTGAGCAATTGGGGAAATGGGTGGTGTTATTAACAGAATTTGGGAGAGAAGGAACAGATTTAGAGGAGAAAATAGGAGATCCTTGAGTATTTTGAGTTTGTGGTTCTAGAATGTGGAGAATGTTTCTGAACTAAAAGAGGAAATTTAGAAGTCATCTTAATGGGGTTGTTTAAAGCTGTGGAAATAAATGAGATTACAAGAAGTACAGAGCAAGAACAGGGCTGTGAGAAACCCTTAATTATGGTTCAGGAAAAAAAGAGACCCAGTGAAAGAAATAGTTCAAAAGAAAACCAAGAGAGTGCCATGTTCCAGAAGCCACGGAGTGGAGATGTTTCAGCATGTGTTAACACTATCTACTACAGAAGAAGTTTAAGCAGAACGCATGCTGATTAAAGGCCATTGGGGGCAGTTAGGTGATGGTGACCTTATAGAAAGTAATTTCAGTGGAGTATGATGAATGTGAGCAATAGAAGAAAAATGGAACAATTGTGTAATATAAGTTTTTGCCACTTAAGCCAAATGAATGGAATCAAAATATTTGTGTCCCAAGGAATTTATTATATTACCAACTCTTTCACATCTATGGTAAAATACATAATAGCAATTATTCGTTGCTATGTATAACACTTGTTGAATTACTTAGTCCCATTTTTGGTTTGTGCACAGAATCAATCTCTCCAAGGTAGTGGTCTCATCTTAAAGCCATGGGGCCCAATCCACATGTAGATGTCTGCCATGGGCAGTTTACAATTTTTGAGGGCAAAATAAGGTATCCAAAGTGGGATGTAATAAACGCTGTCTAAGTCACTAAGGTGCTACATGAACTTGGAAAGATGACAGAAATTAAAAAGAAGAGCTGGTGCCATGGCATGCTCAGGCAGTCCCAGCAACTTGGGTGACTGAGGCAGAAGGATCATTTGAGCCCAGGAGATTGAGACCAGCCAAGGCACACAGCAAGACCCTGTCTCAAAAACAACCATAACTGAAAAATCCTCAAAGAGTAGCAGTAGTAAGAAGAGTTCCTGTCCTGTCAGTTTAATAACCGTTGGTTCTTTTCTTTCCTGTGTTGGATTGAACTCTTTGAAGGTTAGGCCTGGTGGAGTTACTTGGTACATACAGGACCTGCTGGCACACAGTGAGCAATCAGTGTTAAAAGAACCACTGAATCCTCTCCTGGCTTCTTGGGGCTTTACCCTAGCTCCCCCGGTAGTCAAAATCTCCATTCTGTTCTCCTCCTCTGGTAACCATCCTTTGGCTTCACATGGGATTTTTTTTTGAGTCAGGATCTCACCATGTAGCTCAGGCCACTCTCACAAACTCAATCCTTCTGCCTCTGCCTCTCTAGTGCTAGGAGAAAGAGCTAGCTGCCCTCCTTCCTTTTTTTTTTCCCAAAATCTTTTTGTCCTTTTGTAGTCCAGTGTCTTCAACTCCCCCAGGTCCCTTACAGTGTGGTTCCAATCACACTATTCTTTTCCTCTAAAGTCCCCAGTGCCTGCTTTTAACAAGTTCAGAAGTCTTTTATAAATCCTCATTCTTAGTCTGTTGCATTTGAAACTATTCTCATGACACAGTGAATTTTCAAGGACTTTTTTCCATGCTTACATTCTGTTTGTTACACACTGAGTTAGCTATCACTGAGAAGTAACTAGTTTTAAATCCAGGCCATGCAACTACAGAAATGTACTCCTTTTTTTCTGGGTCACAATATTACTTTGTTTATTTTTGGGTTTATGCTGGAAAATGGTTTCTCTACTAGTCTTAGAACAAAGTAACCTGAAAAACGAATCCATGTTTTGTTCATTAAATTTTTCTTTAGTAGTCTGAGGGAAATATTTCCTTGAAGAATTAAATAACTTAAAAATTTCTTAAGCTTCAGTCAATTCTTTTTCTTTCAAAACTCTTCAAACTGGGTACTTGTATGAACACACACAAAGTTAGAATTTGCATATTCTGTATCCAGACTCTCTGCCATTGTATTATTTATGCCTAACCATTAAAATTAATGACATTTGAAAAGTAATTGCAGTCAAATTAAACATATTACTTGTAAAGGAATAAGTAGTCATAGTAGAAGAGATTAAGTATTAACTTACACTAAATCAAGTATGTAAATTAAATTCATTTCAACTTTTAGTACACAGGTCTCACTGCTATGAAAGATATTGTTTCTCTCTGAAGGTACTGAAATGTCACTAACCTTTATTTATTTTTTTTTTGTGGCACTTGGGATGGAATCCAGGGACTCCAGAATGCTTGGCAAGCTTTTTACCACTTGAGCAGTTGTAAAATGTGCCCTCTTAACAAGATGGCATTAACCTATGCAATATGGTATAATTATATGAAGGATTTGATAAATTTAAGTGCAGCCTCTGGCAAAGGAAGTTTAAATATGTTGCTGGATGGCACAGTAATTTTAGGAAACTGCACATTTAGGCCAGAGGTGAGGCTTAAGTGGTGGAACACCTGCCTGGTAAGCTTGAGACCCTGAGTTCAAACCCTAGTATCTGCTGGGAACTGGTGGTTCACTCCTATAATTCTGGTTACTTCCGAGACTGAAATCGGGAGAATCTAGTTCAAGGCCAGCCCAGGCAAATAGTTGTTGAGACCCCATCTCCAAAACTACCAGGGCAAAATGAGCACTGCAAGTGTGACTCAAGCAGTGGAGCACCTGCTTTGCAAGTGCAAAACCCTGAGTTCAATGCCCCAATCCCACACCCCCCCCCAAAAAAAAAATTTATTAGTAGAGATACAAGTCAGGGTAGTTCTGCAGCTTTGCTGTGTAACAAGTGTGTGGGAATTTAAGGTTTTTTTTTTGGGGGGGAGCACACTTGATCAAAAATACACGTAATAAGGCCAGGTGCTGATGGTTCACACCTGTACCCCTAGCTACTTGGGAGGCAGAGATCAGGCAGATCGTGATTTAAAGCCAGTCTTGGGCAAATAGTTTGAGTACCTGTCTTGCAAGCCTAAAGCCTGGGGTTCAAGCCTCAGTACTACAAAAAAACCCAAAAAAACAAAAACCGCATGTATGTAATGCATCTGCAAATAAAGTGGGCTTAATGTATCTTTTCTAGTAGAAAACACAAGTAAAGAGTAATCCATGTAACAGAGTACTCAAATCAACAGAACTGGGAGCTGTACGTCTCCTCGAGGTTAATATGTTGAATTAGCTCTACAGTGGACAAAGTAAATATGAGGAGGGAAGAAGGTATTCCCTTACAGTGGGACTGCTAAAATCCTTCACCCAGCAGCAAAATAAAGGCTTAAAACAAATGTTATCACTAAGAGGGTGAATGAAAACTGTTTTCCAGAACCTGTTTTTAAAAGATGACAGTTCTTTTAAGTTTGAAAAGTTAAAATTCGATTTTCTTGTTATTTGGTCATTTATTCTAGATTGGCAGAAACTTGTTCCTTCACTACAGTTAGTGTCCAAGGCATGGATGCTGTTTTTCTGCTTTAGGATACACTGATGAGAAGAGCTGTGAAGTGTACAACTGTGTGACACTGCAGTCCCCTGCCTCTGTGTGGTGTGGGAAGACAACATTCAAGAAAGTCCTTCAGCAAAGAACATCAAGAATGTATTTGATGGACATGCCGGAAACCTAGTCACTTCAGTGTGATCAATTTCAAGGAAATGTCACCAGAACTTTTTTTTTTTTTAATCTTTTCTTTTTTGGTGCTGGGACCGAACCCAGAGCCTTGCGCATGCTAGGCAAGCGCTGCATCACCAAGCTACATCCCAGCCCCTCACCAGAACTTTTTAATATGAATTCCTGCTTTATCACAACCTTGCTCACAGCCTTGTGTAAACTAAGACTGGCTTAATGCCCGGCATCCCTCAGACACTTATTACCAGTGACTGTGGTGTCACTCAATTCACTGCTGGACAGGTGGAACAGGAACTCACTGTCATGCAATAAAAGATGAGTGTACAAAGGAATGGATTGCTGTCATTCGGTTCACCTCTGCATAGCATTAATTATTTTCTTGCCTTGCACAATAAAGAAAAGCAAGTGCTATTTGGTCTCTTGACCTTTATTAAAAATCCTGAACATAGTTTGGACAGAATGATCATTGGTGTTTCCCCAATTCTACTGTCCGAGTAAAACTGTGCTGTGATGAGGGTAGTTGTGATTAAGCATCTCCTGTAGGGCTGCTGCTTGTCTGAGGTTGTCACACGCTGCTAACACCTTCACATCTTATGCAAGAAGACTGGGGGGGGGCTCCTTACAAGACAGAGCTTCCTAAATCTACCCAACAAATCTTCTGGTAGAGCTTCCAATACTTGATACAAAAATACTGTACAGCAGGGCATGGAATGTCATAGTGCAGATGTACAGACAGACAGACAAATCCATCAAAAGGGAAGATGACAATTTTTATTGTTATTACAAAAGCAAGTTTGTTATTTACTTCAGTCATTGAGTAACTGCAAGAGCAGACTAAGGGCTTAATCCCCACACAGCCACCACGCCAGGCACGGCGTGCCTCATTACAAAATGAGATCTAGGTATTAACTGCTTGCCATAGTAAAAGCTAGTCACTAAATCCTGGCCTGAGAGATACCCACATTTCCTTTAAAACAAATAGAAATTAGTTAAGTGTACATTTCTGAGAGCCCAATGTGTGAGTTCCTAAACACAGACCTTGCAGGCTCAGACCTCAGCTTCACCTAATGCATGGAGAGCAAAGTAGGGCGACAGCCGGAAGAGCGCCAGAGCCCTGGCCCCAGCCCACTCTGCCCTGGCAGCAGGAAGGAGGTAGCAAGGACTTGGGCTGACATCTGAAGCACTAAGCTAACGGCCTGGCAGAGGGGAGACTCAGGAAACATGGAATGCCACTCATCTGTGCCATCCACGAACCTGAGGTTTCCCTGGTAAGAGAGGGCACAGTGGCACATGTGACACGGCAGAAAACATTTAAGGGTTAAGAAATCCTGTTTTCTGCCTAATCAGACCTAGTGCCTATCTGCTTTCCCAGACACTGGGAACATAAAAAGGTTTTCACTGCCATTACTGTTCTGAGGAAGCATAGGATTAGAGAGGTATGTGAGAAATGTCCTTATTGAAGGGAAGACTCAGTAAGTTCTGGGACCCTGAAAATGCAGAATATCCTAGAACCCAAACCATCGAGAAGCAAATCTATTCTATCTGAATCCTGGCAATAAATCTGGGTTCAAATGCAATTGACTGAATTACTACTGGAAATCCTAATCCACTTACTATGAAACCTAATGTAACCAGCTGCTAAAATTAATCTAGTAAATCTTTAGGGTTGTGCATATGTAATTACACGTCTTTAACACGTTGCCATGGCAAGATCTCGAAAGAAATGAGATCGTGAACCTTTAGGTGGTATCTGCTACGATCACTGAAAGGTTAGCTGATGGAAACAGTGCAGTATTTGGACACGGGTAATCACGCCCCAAATCCAGTTGACCACTACCCTATCCACCTTGCACATGTCTGTGAGAGGATTAATTGCACAGTCTGTTCTAATAAGGTAGGCCAACACTGAACATAACATTTACTCATTCTATAGTCAGAGCTAGAGCTGTAATGGGAATTTTCACAAACGGTTTAAAGGTTGAAAGTTGCCTGATGTGGAGAGCTGTAGGAAATCTGAGCATTTGTCCCGTGGCTGCCCTATAAGTCCTACCTATAGCAAGGAAGCTGTCGTCCACGAGCAGCAGTGCTCCAGCAAGTCCGTGCCCATGAGGAGAGGTGCTGTCGTTAACTGTCATCCAACATCACAGAGCAATTATAGTGTTCCTGAAGACTGCCAGGGAGTTGTAGCTGCATTTTTTCAAAAGTTCATCACAGCAGCAATTTTTGATCGTAGGTTCAACTTTTTCTCAAACTGCAAAACTGCCTCTGGTTGCAAGCAGGAGCCAGAATACGTGCAGCACTTTGGCTAAGGACGCCAGTGACCGTCCGTCAGGTAGACTCAAAGTCTCCCGCTGTGAGAGCAGCTCTGGTAGTTTGTGTAACTAGCAGACAGTGTGAATCACATCTTGTTACAGTGATAACCTGTTTACAGTTTATAGTTCTTACATTCGATTACCATGTATTTCAATATTCTTAACTCAAAACAAGAAATAGACATGGGTTAATTATCAACAACACTTGACTACTTGTTACTCAATTTCATGGCAATATACACACACTCAGTCCAACTCTTGGCTTCATTTTACATAAATTTTCACTGAGTAAGTACTGCAAATCATAAATAAAAAGTGTTATATTTTCCCTTTTTTCCAGTTAAGAAAAAAGGATTTGAAATGGCAACTTCTTTGATGTTTATCTCAATGACATCTTTTAAAATTCAGTCTATAATTTAAAAGAATTAAATAATCTAACCTTGAAGGTTGTATAAAGATCATTAGTGTAGAAAGATGCAAACAAAATCATGATTTTGACATATCCAGGCTAAATATCAAGAAAATCTTAAATATGCCCTCCCCTCACCCTACTTTTCATCACACATAAACTTTGCACTTGCAAAAGACAGAGACAGTGAAGGAATTTGTATTGCTGTTTAAAATCCAACATCTGCACACTGCAAGTTTGTTTCGGACATTTTATCTCCTTATTCAAATGACAAAGCAGTGTAAGCAGGAGTTTAAAATGCATTAGCTTTAAGTGAAAATACTTCTTAAAGAATCTCAAAGTCCAGTCAATATAGGATGTTGACTGGATGAAAACTTTCCAACCACATTTGTATTTGATGATGCTGTTTTGTAGAGGTAGGCCTTTGCAGCTGCTGTCCACGTCATTTTGTTTCAGTCTTCAGTATGCATAATCCTAACAGTGCGGAGTGTTTAACAGCAGACACAACTGGTTTTTAAAAAGGCAGTCAATTTAAAAGGAGAAATCTCTTTGGAAATAATGACCCTTTAACCTTTTTAAAAAAGATTAAAATCCAAGCAATTGCTAATTTCTCCTTATGAATATGGAAGTATAAAAGGACTTTTTTTCTGCTTAAAGCTCCGATATTTCCCAGAAAAACAAAAGCCCAGAAATGTTCAGACATAACTGAATTTCATGCGATTCAACAGCCATGAATGTAGCTCTGAGATGGTGTAGGGCATTAGTTTTGCCCCGTCCATGGACAGACTCATCCAGCTCGTGAACAAGAATTCATAGTTTAGGAAGCACTACTAGATTTAAGTCTCCTGTTCTGTGACTGGAAATATGGCTCCTTCACTAGGCTTTTCTTTTCTGAGGACCAAGATTCCAGGGAAGGGACATTTATTAAACATACAATTACAAAGTATCTCATTTAGACACAGAGCAATCACAAAGTCACAGAACCTGGATATTGTCTCCGTTTACTTCCAGGAACGTTTCAAAGTCATGATAGCTGCAGCAGAAAGTCAGCCTTCACTGTGAAAGTCATCAGCGCCGCACCGTGCTTCAACCGCACCATGGCTAGCAAACTTTAGCTTTGAACTTAAGAAAATACAACTTCAAATCATTAAGATAAAACTTACACTGTGCTTGACTTTATCACTATCAGTTTTCATCTGTGCAGTTTCAGATGTCTAATGTGTTCATTTACTTGCTGGATTGGGAATCAGCTTGAACCAGCAAGGATCTTCCCACCTTTAAAGTCACTGACACAAAGAGTAAACTGAGTGACCTGTGGAACTGGCACTTGTAACTGGTAGTGTTCATACAGATGCATGCAGCGCTTATGAATACTAAAGGCATTTCCGCCACTTCTCAACATGCTTGCTTTATTGTCAATCCCATTAATCTAAGTCAGTTAATGGAATTTTCTTAGGGAAACAATTCATTAAGCTTTACTTATAAAAACAACAGTACGCTGTTCTTTCATCTTTAAAGAACTTACTGTGTTTAGGAAATCATATTAAAATAACCAATAGGCCTAGTTAGTGTCATCCTTGCATGAAGGTGTTTAACTGTGTGTATGCATTAACCATCAAAAGAAGGGGTCAAGCAAATTCTTTCCTTTGATACAAACTTGCACATTGTTTGTAAATGCCTCATTTAAAGTAGTGTGTAGGGAAAGAGTTAGAAAAGTCCAAGTAATAAAATGTATTCAATTACTTGGGAGTTAAAAAGCTAATGCAACAATGTTACATCCAGATAAAAAACATTATTCAAAACCAATTCAAATACCGAAAGGATTTCAAATTGAATATTTTATTAACATGGTAGCTGTCTTTTTAACATGTGCACACACACTCGCACACTCAGAATGATCTGCCTGGGGAAAAAGACTAACTATGCCTAAGGGGAAAATGAAAAATAAGAAAGTTCTGGTAGGTTTTCATTATTGTAGGCAATTATGTCCACATCACTTACACAGCTATTGCCAAATCTGTCCAATGAAGCAGAGTTTGAAAGGGGGAAAATCTTGGGAAAAATTCAACAGTGGCATAGCAGAGCTCTCAATATGAGAAAGCTGACATAACGTGGACTTTTGCTGTGAACTTTTTCTTTGCAAAATATTGGGAGAGATTTATCAATGGGCAGAAAATAAGAGAAGGCGGCGTGAAGTAGGCTTTGCAGTCAGTTTTCCTCACAGTATTGTGCAGGGTCACCAAGAAAATGCTTAGTCTTTCTCTGGAACCAGTTTCAGAACTTTTCCAATTGCAATGGTCTTACCTAGAAATGAAATACAAAACAAAACAAAGCAAAAGAAAAACAAAACAAAACAAAAAAAACACCTTTCAGTAGTCAACAGCAAGTCTTGTAAGGTATTAAGCTTATTGTTTTAATCATAAAAATATTTTACTATACAAATTATGGATTATCTGACTTTATCACCAGTCATGATTTCTGGTTAGGTAATCCTAATAACTGGGTCTTATGTTGGGGGGGGATTTGGAAAAGAGGTATGATTACCTATATCAAAGATCTTTGGATAATCAAAATATGGCATATCCACATACTAGAATACTGTTCAACGCTACAAATAAATTATGCTACAAAAAATAATGTGGTTGGACTTTAAAAGCATGCTAAGTGAAGTAAATTAGAAAAACAGATCCACATTTATGATCCTATTTGTAAAATGTCCAAAAAAGGCAAATAAAAGAATATGCAGATTGGTGGTTGCCCAGGACTGGGGTTCAGAGTGAGAGGGGAGTGTAAATTGATAAAAGGATTTTTTTTTAGCTGTCCTCATGTTCTAAAACTAGAATGTGATGGCTGTATGACTCTATATACTAGAATTCAGGTCAGTTTCAGGTTGTGTAAAATTCATCTCTATGAAACTGCTTAAAAAAAAATAAACTAGACTGGAGGCAAGGCTCAACTGGTAGAGCACCTGCTTTGCAAGCACAAAGCCCTGAGTTCAAACCCCAGTCCCACAAAAATGAAATAAACCTATTCTTAAGCAGCTTAAAGATGCAGTGAAGCAACCTTCCAGTGGCATTCCTATGGATTAAAGAGCACACAAACACCAACCCACTGGACTCCTACGAAAACCTCAAGGCCAAGTTATCTTCTAGAACAAAATAATTCTGGGGATGAAAGTCCCTGCTACATTCATTTCTCTTCTTTTGTCTGCCTGATTTTGTCCCGTTCTGATTAGCACCTAAAATTATCGTTCTATTACACCAACAGGATAAACCCAAAAACCAGTTTCACTATGAGTAAGATTGTTTAGGGTGAAGTAAAATGAACAATGTCTTTGTACACTTCCCTGAAGTATGGTTTGTGGGCCAGATTCACTCAACGGAACCGAGGCTGCCACAAAAACTGATGCTTCTATATGAATTAAACCACAAAGTTTCCGAATCTGAAGACAGTTATCTCAGAAATACTAACCCATCAATAAATGTTGCATAATAGTCATTTTGTTTTCATACGACAGAATTTCACGACCCTAAGAGGATGTTGTATGTACCAATCTGAGGTAGGCACCGCAGGGTGCCCTGTGATACAGGCGTATCACACTTCTGAAAAATTAGGTCTAAAAGAAAGGAATAAGCCACAGAGCCCCTGTATTCTCCACACTAATTACAAAGGATTTCAGTATAGAAATGTCTCCTTTAATAAATTTAATTGCTCTCCAAACTACTGACAAACATTAAAATTAAGAATCTAATTCACAGAGCATTACTGTTGGAGTGTCAGTCAATTCTGCTTGCCATTTGCCACAGTCAACTCCTAAAGCATTGTATGAATATTATAGAAGATGAAGCTGGGTTTTCTTTGAACCTGCTGCAATGTGGAATATACACAGACACTGAAGAGTCCCCAAGCCAGACACCCCAGACATCAAATGCAGCTCTTACCCTCATCTCTTAAGGTGAAACGACCCATCTGAGGAAAGTCTTTAAAGGTCTCGAGACAGATGGTTCCTGCCGTCCTTAAACGAGCAATGCACACTTGATCTTGTTTCACAAAACGAGGTCGAGTCTTACTTTTTTCTCCTGATTTTTTATCTACCAAGCAGATTAAGGCCTATCCAAGAAAAGAGGAAGAGAAGGTCAGAAAACTGCCAAATACAAGGAACTTTAAAAATGGAGTGAAAGCCAGTCATGGTGGTACACAACTTAAAATTGCAGTGTTTGGAGGCACATAGAGTCAGGAAGAAAGCAAGGTCAAGGCCAGCTTGACAGGGAGACTCTGTGTCAAACACAAAAACAAACAAAAGAATTCAATGCAAATAAAAGTGTATCATTGTTACAGAATTACGAACTGTCAAGGTAAAGTTCTTAAAGTCGAGACAGACAACGAAGCCATGCTCTGCGCACTCACGGTTATCTCGACCTCCTCGATGCAGGTGTGGACGTGCAGCACTGCGTTGTACCCGGGGCAGATGATAGACTTGTGCTCTATGATCACTATCTGCAAGAAACAAAACATTTCTTTCTTTACTGAAAAGGCCAAAAGGAACCCAGTGCTGGAAAGGTGCCACACAGCACCACACAACTCTCAGCTCAGTAGGAACACTAATGTATTTTCAAAGTTGTGAAGGAACTATTTTGTTCCCAGGATGAGTCAGATTGCCTGACCATGAAGCATAAATTCAATGTCTTAACCTAAAAAACAGCAGGCAGACTTGTATTCTGAGAAGCCTTCCTTTTCTATTCCCCATGGAATTAAGATAATTATTATCACCCACAGGCTGCCTAGATGTGATCTTGCCATAGCGATATCCATGTTTTTCTTTTCTTTGTTTGGGTAGAACTGGGGTTTGAACTCAGGGCTTCACGCTTGCTAGACAGGCACTCTGTTAGAGCCACTCCACCAGCCCTCATTATCCACTTGCTAATACCCAGGGCCCAGTAAAAGTGAGTCTTCGGTAGCTGGCATAAAGATCTGACCTGATTCTCATCATGCCTAGAACAGTACTCAATTCTGTTAACCACAGTCATTTACTCTCACTCTCCCTGGGAGGTCAGACTGCTAATAACACGGAAAAAATGCTGTGTGACCTTTGTCAGTGAACAGACCAACTATCACTTCCAAGATGGGGTTAATGATGTATTACCGTTACTGTCTGCTTTATTCTAAATTTTACTAACAGATCAAAAGTAAAAAGCAATTTATGAAACAGTCCCTAGCATGTAAGTTCTTGTACCACCTTGAAGACATTGTGTGAGAAAGAGAGACGCTACAATCATTATACTATTTCAGTTTCCTAATGTTGGTTAAGTGGCAGGTCACAAATATTCCAGACCAAAGGCACTTAGGTACTAGCTATCACAAAACGACTACCTGAACTGGTTTACCTGGGCATCAAATGTGCGTCCAGAATGACAAAGATTATTAAGATCGCAAAGTATGAATCCAGGAAGAATCTCCTCCTCTTCGATTCCTTTCAGCCTGATTTTAAGGTTTTCACCTGGAGCTACAGAATCAGTTTCTACATCATCAGAAAGTATCCCAAGAACTTCCACGTTGTGCTTAAAAAGAAACAAAGGTTGGAGGTTTGCTCACACATTCACTGCACTGCACAATATAAAATGACAGAATAATCATTTTACCATGTGCATTTATGTAACATGACTTTAACAAGAATCTTATCATAGAAGTACAACTGCCAATTAAAGGTTTAGCCTTTTGTTTTTTTTTTGCTTTGTGATGCTGGGGAGTAACCCAGGGACTGCTGCAGGCCAGCTCTCTACTGCTTGGATATAAACCAAGGTCTAACTCGTCCTCTGATTAATATCGCATTCTAGAATATAGTACAAAACAGTATTTGCCTTTTTTGCTTTTACAGAATTAAAACACCAAATTTAATATTTTGACTTTAATCTATGTATGTATTTTTTCCCCCCAGAAATGGGGATTAAATGTGACTTGAGTCACATTCCAGCTCTTGTTTTTGAGTTGGGTCTTGCTAACTTTGCCCAGGTTGGTCTTGAACTCCCAATCTTCTTGCCTTGCCTCCCAAGTAGCTGATATTACAGGTGTGTGCCACCATGCCTGGTTTGTGGGTAATGAAATTTCAATTTTTTTTGGTTTTTTTGGTAGGACTGGGGTTTGAACTCAGGGCACACTTGCAAAGTAGGTGCTCTACCACTTGAGCACACCTCCAGTCCATCTTGGTTATTTTGGAGATGGGGTCTTGTGAACTATTTCCCTGGGCTGGCATGTAACTGAGATCCTTCTGATCTCAGCCTTCCAAGCAGTTAGGATTACAGGCATGAGCCACTGGCACCTGGCTGAAATTCCAGGATTTAAAAGATCCTGAAATATCTGAAATGTGGACATCTCAAAAGTTACTTCAAAAACTATATTTAAGAGGCACATTAACTGCTCAGTGAGTACAGTATTTCCTTTGGAGAAAGGAACAGGGCAGTGCTGATATTTACACAGTGTTGTCAGTGTACTAAGTGTCACTCTCCTACATCATTTGTTCTTTTATTTCTCCTTCCTGCTACAGCTCAGAATAGGATGGAGCATGGAGAACCACAGGCTTCTAAAGACTATATATATTGTTAGCACCAAGAGTTAATGAGAGTTGTTCACCTAGAAAAGGTTTAAAAGTCAATCTATGTCTTGGGAACAATTTTTATCAAAGTAAAAAAGTGATTGTTTTTAAGTTTAACCCATTAACAATTTAAAAAGTTTAAAAAATTGTGCTTAAAGATAACTAAACCAAAATACGGCTGAGGCTGTGGCTCAAGTGGTAGAGCGCCTGCCTGGCAAGCTTAAGGCTCTGAGTTCAAACGCAGTACTGAAAACAAAAAAGGTGGTGAAATGCACACAAAATGTAGCATCTTAACCATACTACACGCTCAGTAGTATTAAGCTCTTTCACTTAATGAGCAAACACTGTGCAGCCGATCTTCACTCTGAGTTCTTTTATCTTGCAAAAGTGATACTCTACATAATGGCCAAGAGTTCAAAGCCAGCCTGTGCTATCAGCCCTGTCTCAGAAAACCAAAACAAAATGAAAAACATGTAAGTAGTATTGCTAGATCATGCAGAAATACTTTTTGTTTTGTTTTGTTTTGAGGAATTGCTGTGTTGTCTTCCACAGCAGCGGCACAGTTTCACTTGTACAAGAGGTCAAGTACCTCCACATCACAACACTTGTGCCTTTCTGGGTTTTATGACAGCCATCCAAATGGGTCTGAGGTATTATGTCATTGTAGGGGTATTTTTGGTAATACTGGGGTTTGAGTTCAGAGTCTCATGCTTGCTAGGCAGGCATTCAACCCCTTGAGTCACGGCTTCAGCCCGTTTTGCTTTAGTTATTTTTGAGATAGAGTTTTGCTCTGTACCCAGGACAGCCTGGTCTGCAATTCTCCTATTTGTGCTTCTTGGCATGGCGGGAGTCTCACATACTTTTAGCCTGGACTAGCTTCAAATTGAAGTCCTCTTGACCTCTGCCCAGGTACAGGTGTGAGTGTCCATACTGTACTTTGCTGTAGTTTTGATTTCAACATAAATGACTGGTGATGCATCTTTCCACATGCTTGCTGGTCAGCTACTTTTCTTGGAGCAATGTCCATCCCAGTCCTCTGCTCATTTCTAAATCAGGTTGTTTTGGGAAACTGTTGAGTTGTAAGAATTCTTTATATATTCTGGATTAGCCATCCAGCAGATATATACTGTTTACACCTATCTTCTCCCACTTCGTAGGATGTCTACATGTGAATTTTGAAAAGTAAGCTAGTCTGAATTTCCTGACACTCAGGAGGGGTGAGGTGAACCGAGTTTTTAAGGCTTACTCAACAGCTCCAGGTTACTGTACACACACCCTGCATTTAGCATAAAGTGACAGCAGCCACTTCCTCGGGGTACTAATTTCATTTGCCAGGGGAAAATCTTTATTTTCTGCTGTGGCACAATACAGGTAACATAAAATTTACTGTGTTAACCCATTTTACAGTGTATAATTCAGTGCCATCTAGTATATTCACAAATTGTAAACCATTTCCACCACACAGTTCCAAAACATCTTCATCACCCCAAAAGGATCCTGTACCCACTAAGCAGTCACACTCCCCAACACCTCTCCTGCTGCCTCTTGCAACCACCAATCCGCTTCCATCTTCATAGCTTCTGTGACAGCTCTACAGACAACACTGAGCAAAAAATTCAAACTGAATGTCATTTCCCTTTGGTCACCAGCCTTCTGAATAGAGACCACAAGGAACAACTTGTAACATGCCAATTCCACCTAAGCATGATACGGGCAGTGGATACCTTTTCTTATTCCCTGAGCCTGACATAAGCATGGTCAAGAAATCTTTAAATTTACCAAAAACCTTTTTGGCAAGTCAATTTCCCTACACAAGCAATGTCTCTTGAAGCTACAAGTCAAGTCCATACATCAGCATTTGAGCAGTTACAATTAACAGGAAGGAATAATTCACAGTCCTGATTTTATACATTTTAGTGAAATTCCAATGATGAAGAAATTATAATACATGAAGGAGGTAAAAACCCCAGTCTGGAGGCAGTGCTCAAGAGGTACAGCGCCTGCCAAGCAGGTGCACGCCGTGAGTTCAAATACTCAGTACCAATACATAAACAGCACAGCTTGGACACAGTGTTTTATAACACACACACTCAAAAAAGCATACCACACAGTGACTAAACCCGAGGTTTCTTCCTTGGCTCTCTCACTAAATTTTGTTAATCAAAGCAAGTTGTTTTACTGCTCCAAATCCCCATTTTCTTGGCCCCATAACAATGGGCCTGATTGGTGGTCTCCTCCTGTGGCATCTTGGAGCTCTAAGACTATGGTAATATTGACTCTCCATTTGTCACTACAGATTTGCTCTCCAGTGTCACACCTGGCACCAAGCAAGCACTTTCAAAAGCTTGTTCATGGAAATCCCCAAGCTTCTCACAAGCTTTGCCTCCTTGCTAGCAATCATTTCAAGGAGAAAATCCACCCAGCGTACCTTGTTTGGCATCATCACAAGCTGCTGGCCTCTCGAGATTGAGCCGGACTCCAGCTTTCCCAGGACCACAGTGCCCATGTCCTGTTCAAATTTCAAACAGAATACCAAACTTCAGCCTGTGCTTGCTACTCAACAGTAGCTGAACAGCCCAAAGTGAAATCCTGCATGGCCACTTAGAAAGCAGTCATTAGCCTAAGCAGAACGCTGAGGGTCAACATTACACACGGAGAGGGGTTCTTATCACAGGCAGATAATCAGGTACGCCCAAGATTTAGAAAGAAATCTATGATGAAACATCTGAACTGTGTGTACAAAAGTCTGACCCCTAAGCCCATTTCCTTTTCTATGAATTCAGAAAAACAATACTTCTTCAAGAACTTTAGAATGGAGTATAATGAAAGAACAAAATATTTGAGGAGGGCAAAACAGTACATGAATTGGTACTGTAGAACTTTAAAAGTAAAGTTAACAATCCAGTTAAAAACGTAAGTTAATTTTTTTAAGGCTAACATCTGGTGTAAGAAGCTTTAAACTAGCACCATGATGCTGCTGGCGGAAGGAAGTTAACACATTATTTTTGCAAGTCTTTTTATCAGTATCCAGCCACTTCAATGAGAAAACCTTGCAGCCCAGCATTTCATTTGTATGAGATTCTGGCTAAAAAGGATCTCTGGCCCACTGGGAATGGCTGAAACAAACTACGTTTGCTGAATGAATGCAGCCACTAAAAAAACATGTGAGATAATAAAGTTGTTTTATAATTAGCAACAACACAAAACAGTTATTTCCCTTCCCACAACCCTGATCTCCTTCATGTTTTGGGTACCTTGTACTTGTCCACAATTGGCAGTCTGATTGGTCCATCAGCTGATCTATTGAAGTTTGGCAAATTATCCAGATATGGAATAAATGGTAATCCTCTGAGAACATAACAATATCCATTAAAGAAAGTACCAAAACTTCAAGAAGTTACTTTAACCTAAACAAAGCCCAGCATTCTTCATTCCATTTATTACCCATTTCATCAGCCTAGTCCTCAGAAAACTCAAAACACAACGAAACAACTCAGTACAATAAAGTTTCTGAATTTATCCTAGGTGTGGAAAAATACTTTATAGCAATAGTCCCCACGTTGTACTTCATGACTACATTCCATTACCTTTTGTTTGGCTTTGAGTCAGGATCTCACCATGCAGCCCAGGCATGCCTTGAACTCATAATCCTCCTGCCTCAGCCTCCTGAGTGCTGGGACTACACATGTGTACCACCTCACCTGCTCTCTATTACCCAATTTTTATGGACTCAGAGGTATCATCTTTTTCAACTCTGATGTCATGATTCCACAAAATAATTTCCCCTTTATTCGAACGGGAAGACTTAATATCATCTAGCTGCCTATGTCGCAGAAATTACAAGCTGATCCTAATATTCATATGGAAAATCAAGAGACTCACAAAAGCCAAAACAATGTAGAAAAGGACAAAATTGAAGTCCCACACTTGCTGATTTGAAACTTCAAAGCTGTATTGTGTGATACTGGCCTAAGACAAACATACAGATCAAGAATAAAGAACTCAGACTCCAGAAACAAATAGTCTCTCACATTTATGGTCAACTGAATTTCAATGAAGGTGCCAAACCAACTCAATAAAGAATATCTTTCCAACAAATTGTGCATAAACAACTGGATAACTGTATGTGAAAGCAAAATGAACCCAGACATAGATCTTACCTCTTACACAAAACTTAAAATGAAATACACATGTAAATATCAAAGGTAACAATTGAAGAAAATTTAGATCAATATCTTTGTGACCTATGTTTTCTTTATTTATGACAGACACCAAAAGAATAATTAACAAAAGGAAAAAACTGGACTCCATCAAAGTTGAAAGTACTGTGCTTCAAGGATGCCACTGAGACAGTGAAAAGGGAGGGCTTAGGGTGTAGCTCAGTAATAGGGTACACGGTTAGCATGTGCAAGGCCCTAGGCTCCATCACCAGCACCATCCTCCCACCCAAAAAAAAAAAAAAAAAAAAAAGAGTGAAAAGGAGGCTATCTACAGAATTGTGTGTGGTAAGGGACTTGTATCCAGTACATAAAGAACTAAATAAAGAACTACATTGAGAACCTGACTCAAAAGCAAAGGCTGGAAGATTTTAAAGCCAAGGTTATGCCAATTTCCCTTAAGTTAAGACATACACGTATTTTGGGAATGGGAAGGAACTGGGATTTGAACTCAGGGCTTCACTCTGGTGAAGCAGGCGCTCTCCCACTTGAGCCTAGCACCTCCAGTCCATTTTGCTCTGGTTATTTTGGAGACGGGGTCTCAAGAACTACTTGCTCAGGCTGGCCTGAAACCTTGACCCCCCAATCTCAGCCTCCCAAGTAGCTAGGATTACAGACACCAGCCATCAGTGCCTGGCATTTCACTGTTTTTTTAAAAGAGGGAATAAAAGGTTACTCACATGTACCACGGACAGAAATCTGATTGTTCTTTGAGATTTGCTCCAGTCAGTCCTGAGCAGGGCATAAAGTGAATGTCCTTTTTGGGATTGAAGCCAACTTTTTTCAAAAATGGCACTAGTTTCTCTTTACATTCTTCATATCTATGAATATTTATAAATAAATTATAATACTTATAATTTATAAATTTGAGTAAACAAATGAAGGTTTAGAAAAACTTTAGGGAAAAATACATACAATAACAAAACCATCCTTTATTCTACTGACACATCTATGTTAAAAAAGCAGTAAAACATCTAAGCTTACCTCTCATTGCTCCAATTAACTGTTGGATCATCCATCTTATTAATAAGCACAATTAAGTGTTTTACACCTGCTGTTTTTGCCAACATGGCATGTTCTCTGGTCTGTCCTCCTTTTTCAAATCCAGTTTCAAACTCTCCTTTCCTGGCTGAGATTACCTATTCCAAGAAATCAGAAATTTATTCTTATACATTCAGACATACCCTTCTAGCAGTGAAAACATCTTTCCACTCAGGTGTATTTCTCCAACAAAATAGAAGCAAATGAGTTGCACTGCACATGGTGCCTTTGAATATCAAATCAGAATCCAGATGGCTTAAAATCGGGGTGTTTGGGGTTTGACTTGTAGCGTAGTGGCAGAATAGCACAGGGCACATGCTTAGTGTGAGGCCCTGGGTTCAACTTCCAAACCCCAACCAAAAAAAAAAGAGAGAGGAAAAAAAAAGAAAATATTAGCCGGGCGCTGGTGGCTCACACCTGTAATCTTAGCTACAGAGGAGGCAGAGATCAGGAGAATCACGGTTCAAAGCCAGCCTGGGCAAATAGTTCCGTGAGTCCCTATCTCGAAAAACCCTTCATCAAAAGCAGGGCTGGTGGAGTGACTCAAGGTGAAGGCCCTGAGTTGAAGCACCAGTACTGCAAGAAAAGAAAAAAGAAGAAAAAAAAAAAAAGAAAAAGAAAATATTTGATTATTTCTTTTACCCCTCAACTTCCCCAAATATTTATAATTCAAACATTTATATGTAGGGCTGAGGATACGGCTCAGTGGTAAAGTGTGTGCTTAGCAAGTGCGAGGCCCTGGGTTTGATCTGAGCACATTAAAAAAAAAAACAAGCTGGGCTGGACATGGTGGTCTACATGTGTTATCTCAACTACTTGGGAAACAAAGACTGGAAAGACTGCAAGAGGCTGGTGGTCTGAAGCTGGTTCTGGGCAAAGACTCCAGCCCTACCTGAATAAGAACTAAAGCAAAAAAAGGGCTGGGAACATGGTGAAAGCAGTAGAGCACCTACCTAGCAAGCATGAGGCCCCAAGTTCAAACCCTGGTACCACCAAAGGGGAAAACCAAATATGATCTAGTATCAGTACACTGTCAAATGACTGAGGCAGGAGGCTGAGGCAGGAGGATTGTGAGTTCGAGGCCACCTTGGACTACAAAGCAAGACCTGTCTCAAAAAAACAAGAAGTGAAATAAATGGTTATTATTCATTTCTGAGAGAACAAATTTTGTTATTTTCAGAAGTAAATAAAGATTTCTTAGGCAGATTAGTATTGACAATGAAAATTCTGACTCTGTATAATACAGTAATAATACAGTTTACTGTAATCAAAGTTCTAACTTTTAGAAGGAAAATTCAAATATTTAAGATACAGCTTGGGTGTTGGGGTGTAGCTTGCTGATAGAGCACTTGCTGAGCATATACAAGGCCACAGGTTGAATTCCCAGCACTGAAGGAAAACTAAGGGAAAGAAGGAAAGGGAGGGAGGGGAAGGAAGGAAGGGAGGGGAGAGGAGGGAGGGAGGGAGGGAGGAAAGAAGGTGTAAGTTGGGCTACTACTAAACACACACGGGTTGAACTGTCTCTCACCAGCACAGCCAGGTCAGCTTGAGAGGCGCCACCAATCATATTTGGGACAAAACTCTTGTGGCCAGGAGCATCCAGAATTGTAAAATGCTTTTTTTCGGTTTCAAAATACGCACGACCCACTTCTACTGTTTTACCCTTGTCTCGTTCTTCCTGATTTGTGTCTAAGGCCCAAGACAAGTACCTGGAAGAATTTTCAAAATTACAATACTGCTAAGAACATGTGACTGTTTTTAAGACATTCTACCTGTGATTAAACCTGTGACTGCTGACACCAGTTTTATGTCCATTCCACATCTAAGCATAAACAAGACTGGTGAAAATAAGTTACAAGAATAAGGAAGGTATTACTGTGATTCAAACAGGACCGTTATGCGTATGCACAGTCAATCATTCATTCTATGAACAGAATACTTAGTGCAGGTGCGGTGATGCACACCTCGCACCTGAATCCCAGCACTTGGGAGGCTAAGGCCCAAAGTTTGGCAGCAGTTTCAGGAAAGCCAGGGTGACACTGCAAGATGCTGTCTCAAAAGAGCAAAGACTCCTTAGTAGCAATGCCAATATCACTGTGAGTAAAGTACTAACGGGCTCCTCGTTTCACTTTTATAAACATCTGGCACACAGTACAATGCAAATAATGGTAGCAAAAAATAAGAATATTTTTCAGAAGCAAAGGCCAACCCATCATGTGGGAACACTGGCTACTTGCTAAAAATCACATTATTTTACTATGTAAACGTTAGATAATTTTTACATAAATAATTCAAACCATCCATAACATCAGGTATTAATTTACACTACCTCATCTTTCATATTTCTTACATGGTATAACATTGATTAGGACTTCCCCCTTTAATCCAGAGGAATACAGTCTTGTTTTAAATGATCATTAATGTCCCACTGAGATGAGGTTCGCAAACCTGCAGTACTAGAGTCAGAAACAAGAGCCTTAGAACCCAGCGCGCTCTGCTTTTTTCATTTTGCTTTCTGGCTGGCAGTACTGGGTTTGCACTCAGGGTTTCAAGCTTGCTACACAGGCATTCCACTGCTCCATCCATTCCTTCCTGTCCCAGCATTTATTCCCATGATGACCTTTCAGACCCTAAGTACAGTGACGCTTCTTGCTTTCTGCCCAATGCTACTGCAACATTAAATTCTATTTCTGCTTATTAAAAATGGTAAGTGTATTTCAGTGGTTATATAACGTTCCAATTAAATGCAGTGTTTGTAATGTATTCAATGAGTCTACTACTAGATGTTTGGATGGATTCTAAATTTCCTTTGTCTACATTATGATGTCATTAAGTAACGAATCTACTGAGTATTAGGAGGAGAAAGGAAACATTTTTATTATGAAGCCATTTTAAACAGCAAGAATTTATTTCACTAAGTTTTTGAGACAGGGCCTCACCATGTTGTCCAGACTAGCCTCAAACTCAAGCAATCCCCCTGCCTCAACCTCCTCAGTAGCTGGGACTACAAGAGTGCACCATCATGCCTGGCTAAGAAATTGTTTTCACAGACCACAAAAGTATGAAGTGGACAGTGTTTCCTTGCAAGTAATTCAGTGTCATAGAAGATTACCAAGTTTCTCTGTTTTTTTCTTTAGCTTCTCTTTCATATTTCTCGAGTGTCCTTTTGTCAACCATTCCAGTTAAATACCTAAAAAAGGGTTAAAGAAAAAGAAGGAAACAATTTGTCACATTGCATCAAAGCCATTGAGGGACCCTCAACTCTGAACACAGCTATTTTAAAGTAAACGTACCAGTGGTATACTGAAAAGTGGAAAAGGGGCACGTGCACAGTCTCACATTATCAGGTAAAGGGGAAAAGTAAGAACTTTGGAATGGATGGTACTGACAGCATGCTAACCGAGTCCTCTTGGCTCGTTCCATTGGTAATTTGTAAAACCTGCTACTGACATCACACATCCCCAGACATGAAGAACACATACATCCTCTATGGTGTTCTTGCTCAAAATGCACAACCTTGATGTAACTGTGAGAAAATATCAGACCAATCCGCAGTGAAGGACATTCTGTGACATGACTGAACAGCAGTACTCTTAAGATTGCTAAGGTCATGATGAAGGAAAGTCTGAGAAAACACCACAGGTTGGGGACCATGGAGATACACGGGCTAAATGCAATACAGAATTCTAGATATAAAAATCCTAAAACACAGAAAAGCTAAGTTCAATTAAGAGCTGCTGCTTAGTTAGTAGTAGTATACCAATGTTAATTTTCTAGGGTTTTTTTTTGCGGTGCTAGGGACACTTGCTAGGCAAGTGCTCTACCACTGAGCTGTACCTCCAGGAAGAAATACATTTTAAACACCTAAAGTACAGAAGAATAGCTTAGCCTAATTACCTTAACCATGCTCAGAATACTTCCATTAGCCTACAGTTGGGCAAAGTCACAAAACACAAAACTCAGTGAGCACTGCAACCAGCGGTGGCCAGAGGATCGCTGTTTCCTCTCGACTGAGCGCAAGCCAAAGCTCACAGCCACTGCCAGCATCATGAGGGAAGATCACACCGCTCAGGAAAAGATCAAAAACTTTCAAGTACTGTTTCTACTGAATGCATATTGCTTTTGCATTATTTCATGTGAGGGACCATCTGTATATTGAAAAGAGACTAAGACTTCCTGTAATCTAGGGTTCTGTACTGGTTTTCGTGAAAAAAAATCTAATTACAGTTTTTAGAAATACATTGAGTGTTCAGTGAGAGTCTGAAGTGATTAACGCAGTAATGACACTGCAAAAGTTACTTAGCCTTCTCTACAGGTGATCTATTAATTTTCTTAACTTAGGGCGGGCCGTTTCAGCTGCTTGAAATTCATTTAATCAAATTAGCTATTATTTAAACAAGTTGGACTTACATTATTTGTCCTCCAATGGTTGACTTGCCCGCATCTAAAAGTAAAAACATCAACAATATGCAAATTAGAGGCTAAAAACAACAACTAGCATATGCAAACACAACTACAGTTACTTTGTAGCTTGTGTAATTAAATCTTGCAGAAGTAAGTGAACTGTAAAAGGAATGTGAGGCATAAAGCCTAGTGACCTTCTTCATGGAAAATGAGGCTACTAAGACCACTCAGAAATACTTTCCTGATGAAAAGAGCCAGGCGTGGGGGTGCACACCTGTAATCCCAGCAGACGGGAGGATGAGGCCAGCCTGTGCTACACAGTGAAACCCTGTACAATGTGATGATGATGAAGGAGAAGAAAGAAGAGTAGGAGGAAGAGGAGGTGGAGGAAGGAAGAAGAATTTTTCTTCTAAAAAGGAGTGTGGTGTTTTGTATTAAGGGGAAGGAAGAGACAAAAGAAAAATGGCACAGGATTCTCTATTCTCTTAATTTTGAGGCTAGGCCTGATAATTAGAAAACAGCCATTTAATATATAGGGTTTATTTGGTTGGTTAAACCTGCAACTTTTGCAAGCACCCAAAAGTTACTTCAGATTATTAATTTATTTCACACAAAATTAAACTACCAAGTAATAAGGTTAATCCTACTGAAATGAACACATGAAAAACTAGGAACATATGCCGAGCCACCAAAGTAGTCTAGAGACTAATTACCTACACTGAAGCTCACTTCCTTCCTACTTTTATGACATTATAAAATTGTTCATTGGCCTAAACTTCAAGAAAAAATACTGGCAATTTTTTTGACAGTTGAGGAAATGTAGCAAGTTAAAAATCGAGGCATTTTAGCATGTGTAAGGCCCTGGTCCAACCCCCGGCACAAGCAGGCAGACAGACAGACACAGACACACAGCAAGACGTTTTAGATAATTCTGGTCAGTCTCACTAACCGTCTCTAGGTAGCCAAGTACATGTTCTGTGTTATGGCGTACCTGTCACATACTTGGTCTTGTGACTGCGGTGAGTGTAACTTACCTACGTGCCCAATGAACACTACATTGACATGTTCTTTTTTAGGAGCACCTGGGGGTGCAACCACAGATTTAGGTTTTGGTATTTCCTCTTCCTCTTCCATCATTTCATGGGTACTTTCTTCTGACGGCCTTCCATCTCCCAAGGAACCACCCTCCGGCTCTGCTTCACTTATTTCTTCTTTGTGCTCCCATGATTCTTCTGGGGACATATCAGTCTCTCCATTTTCTACTGAAAGAAGACATTTTAAGTAACTATTCTGAAAAAGATGTACCTGCACATGAACACACACATGTTGTAGCATGACAACTGAACTTTATCATATTGTTAAAGTTCTATTTCCTAATGTCTCCTTCACAACAAAAATGGGACAAGAGCTTTCCAGCTGGCCTCACTGCTGATGTCAGCTCTGACTCAGAGATTCTGAGATGGCTACAGTAGCAAGGCATCATTTCCTAAAGCAAACCAAATAACAACAAAAGGGCTAACATTCCCAACAGGACTTGTCACCCCAGTGTCAAGATGCCCTGATGTAGAAATACAGGAAAGTTTAAAAATCAGAACACAGGATGCCGGGCACCACTGGCTCACACCTGTAATCCTAGCTACTCAGGAGGCAGAGATCAGGAGGATCAAGATTTGAAGCCAGCCTGGGCAAACAGTTCACGAGACCTTACCTCAAAAATACCCAACACAAAACAGGGCTGGTAGGGGTGCTCAAGTGGTAGAGTGCCTGCCCAGCAAATGTGAGGCCCTGGGTTCAAACCTCAGTACTGCCAAAAATAAAAAGATCTGAGAATTCTTCTTGGAGGCAAAAAAAAAAAAAAAAAAAAACCAAACAAAACACAGGAGGACTGTGATATACAGATGTATTTCCTAATCTTTCTTTAGTAATAAGATGGGCATCTACTTTAACAGTCACTTTGGGAATATGAAACCCTGAAGAGCAATAAAATGTAAGGTAAGGAGGAAGGGCTCTTTTCACAAAAAGACAAGCAAGTACAACTATTCAAATTGCCATTAGCATTCCTTCTCAAAATTCTGTTTGCGATCACTCATTTCTCAAGGCAGAGTTCATGTCCATATTAGTCCTGCTTTCTAAGTCCCAACGGCAAGGACTCAACATGTCTTTAGTGCAGGCACTGCAGTAACCAGAACACTCACAAATGCACCTCAAATCTAGAGAGAGAACAAAATTACTGTATTAAGATGGTCAGAAAAGGCTTACCAACGGGTTCTGAAAGTTCCATGCTAACAGCTGAATTTGAACCTAGACAAGAGATGGAAACACAACACACATTTACAAAACACTGTCCAGCTTTCCACACCACAGACAACTCAATGTTTCTTTAAAAAATTACCTTCACACAGTAGTGACTGCTCCTCTTGAGCGGACTCCACAGGGGCTGTTCAAGAGAAATAGTTTCTGTTAAAACTAAGACCTTTACACTGTAGGACTTAGCTTTTAACATACAGTAAAAATCACCAACTAGTTCAGCAGCACACCACAAAACTCAACAACTAGGACCAATAAGCAGCTAACTCAAGTGTTCAAATCAGAAGTCTTTTAAAACTAACTAAAAAAAAAAAAAACTACCAATAACAACCACCTTAAATGTTAAGCAGCCCAACACGGACCAAATTAGTTGGATTTTGCTCATTCTCTTTTGGCAACCCTCTCACCCAAGGTTGTAATTATTATATATCTTACCAAGATACAAGTCAATTTGAGACCCGAAAGATGAATGGCACTCGTGTAAAGCCTCTGGAATACATATGAGACCTTAAAATACTTAAGAAAAAGTAACTCCTAGAATGCACTTTTGCTCTACTCTACAAGTCTAAGATCAAGCAGCAATTCAGTTTCCCAACTGTCAAACTGCTCATCTACTTAAGTAATCCCTGTAGAAAGGTAGGAGAAATAATACACTGATGCCCAAATATGGAAGTCTGATTTTTACTATCTGATCAACCTGAACAAAACTCTGGAATGAAAGTGCTCTTGCTTTCTCCAAGAGTGAATGTGTAACCTCCAAAACTCCCATTTAAATGGCTGCCCAGAAGAGTTAACACCTATGTTTTTTGCAGTACTGGGGTTTGAACTCAGGGCATCATGCTTGCTAGGCAGGAGCTCTGTCACGTGAGCCACGCCCCCGGCCCTGGGTGCAATCTTTAGTGACTTCAAATGTTGAGTAATTTCCTGTCCCTCCTAGATAAGGCCATCCAAGTTTGTTTTGGGGATAAGCACTATACTACTGAGCTACATCCCCAGCACTTTATATTATTTTACTTTCATTCTGTTCTTATTCTAAGACAGCAGCGTCTTAAGCTGCCCAGGCTGGCCTCAAACTTGTGAACCTCCTGCCTCAGACTCCCTAGTAGCTAGAACTGCAAGTAGGTGCCACGCCTGCCTTTTTTCTTTTCTTTTTGAAGAGAGAAGTGACAGACTCAGAGTGTCACTCAGGAACATCCGTGGCATGTACAGATGCTCTGGGGCAGGAGAGACACTCCAGGCAAAAGACTGCATCACCCCTGCAAGAAAGCATGTCCTTTGGACTGCAGAGCAGCACAGCTACAGCGACGTAGAGGCACACTGCCAGGAAGAGAAGGGGGGTAAGTCAAGACTTCCACAGTACCAACAGATACGGGGAGGGTGGGAGAGCATTTAAACTGTTGCAAGGAGACAGAAATTGTACTTCTTACACCTCTTTTGCTTTTCTTTCCTTGCATTTTTTTTTTTCTTAAAGACAGGATATCTCACTATATAGCTCAGGATGACCTTGAACTCTCTATGTAGCTCTTTCTGCCTCAGCCTCCTGAGTGCTGGGATTACAGATGTGAGCCACAGTGCCCAACCTTGCTTTTCTATTTTGAAGAAAAGTTTCAGGGTAAGGAAAAAGAAATTAATCCTAAATTGAGTTCACAGACCACTTAGAAAGAGGCAGTGGCATAGGGCCGAGGAGGGACCCTGCACCTGAGTGGACTCCTGGACTGAACTCCTGCCCTGTCACTTACTTCACTGGCATTTTGGGAATGAGGCAACACGCAGCTGACAGGCCTCAGAGAGGGTATCAATTTAGGAAGTCCTTGCACCCAGACTTTCAGCAAGCGCCAGATTCCTCTCACTAAAAACAAAAACAAAAACAAAAAACCAGCAGATTCCACTCACTGCCTGAATACCTCCATCTTCATTCCACCAGCTAGCTCTGCCCCAGCGTCCTTTATAGGTGGGCCGGCATGAAGCACCCCCAAGTCCACACAGTGCTAGGCAGGGACAGGAGATGGCACTCTGCACCAACAGGAACTGAACTCTACTAAGCCTCTAGTGTGCTAATTGCAGGCCACTAGGTCCCTCAAAAAGCCCATGACAGAAAGACACTGCATCGCTCCCACCCCACACAGGTCAGAACAGACTGTGGTTCCCTTCTAAATCCTCCTCTAACAGCCCCTGCTGAAAATCCCTGCAAAGGTAAACTAAGCTATCATGGGCAGTTAGGATGTGCCAGGTTTTTTGTTGTTGTTTTTCAGTACTGGGGCTTGAACTCAGGACCCCATACTTGCAGCCCTTTTTTGCTTTGGTTATTTTTCAGATGGACTCTCATGCTTTTTGCCCAGGGTCAGCCTCAGACTGCAATCCTCCTACCTCCGCCTCCCATTAAGCTGGTATTATAATCATGTACCACCATACCCAGCTTCATTCATTGAGATGGAGGTCTTGCTAACTTTTTGCCTGGTCAGGCCAGAACCTGGATCCTCTGCCTCACAATTAGCTGGGATTACAGAAGTGCACCATTATGCCTGGCCTGCACCAAGATTTTTAAGGCATGAAAAACACTGAGACAACTGGTAGGGTGGGCTTTGCCACCACTTGCTATATTCCTGTCAACCAGCTTTTCAAAATCAAATGGTACTCATACACCATCTCTTTCCTGGCACCAACTCAGGTTTACATATGCAATTACACACATAGGACGTGGGGACTTCTCAGGACAGGACAGGACAGGACATCTGGTGGTCATATGACCACTTCCATGGCTGAATAATGCAGCATAATGTACTCTGTTTATGGTTTTTCAAACCACCCTACAGTTTAAAACTTACAGAGGCAAAGACAGCATCAAGTACCAAAACAATGACGTGCTCAGTAATGCAAGATGAAGTTAGGACTCCAAAGTAAACTGACTATAGTTTCTCACAGTGGAAGAAAGCTTCCATGAAACCTTCAGACCACTGACAATAAAAACCTAATGGCAATGCTGGTGACATCTGAGAGCCCAATGTCTTTTGGCAGTACTAGAAGTTGAACTCAGGGTCTCCTGCTTGCTAGGCAGGTGCTAGACTACTTAAGATAGACCCTCAGCCCTAAAATTATTCAGTTTGATTGTGTCTCACATGAACACTAATGGTCACATACTGTGTGATCCACTTCTGTGAAATATTCAGAACAGGTAAATCCATGAAGTCAGAAAGCAGACTGATGACCGCAGAAGTTGGGAGGAATGGGAATGGGGGGTGGATATGGTTTGGAACTACATACAGGATGCTACCTGTACCACAGTGAACATTCCAAATGGCACTGAGTTGTTCACTTTAAAATGTTTTACTCTGCCAGGTGCTGGTGGTTCACACCTTTAATTCTAGCTACTCAGAAGGCAGAGATCAGGAGGATTATGGTTCAGAACCAGCCCAGGCAAACAGTTCTCAAAACCTGTCTTGACAAAACCCATCACAAAAAGGTGCTGATAGAGTGGCTAAAGGTATAGGCCCTGAGTTCAAACCCCAATACCACAAAAAAAAAAAAAGTTTAATTTTATGTTACTCGGAATTTTACCTCAATTTTTAAGGGTACTCATCTATAGCAAAGTCAAAAAACTCAACCCCCAAAGAATCAGCAACCCAATGAAAAAATGGGCACGAAAACTGAGTAAGCAATTTTCAAAGAAAAGGTACAAATGGTCAATAAATACATGAAGAAGTGCTCAACTTCCCTGGCTATAAAAGAAATGCAAATCAGAACTACATTGGCTGGTGGGGTGGCTCAAGTGGTAGAGTGCCTTCCTAGTAAGCTTGAACCTCCTGAGTTCAAACCTCAGTACCACCACAAAAACAAAAATGCTACACTAAGATTTTATCCCACCTCAGTTAGAACGGCTACTGTCAACAACAAATGTTGGTGAGGAACTCTATACACTGCTGGTGGGAATGCAAATTAGTACAAACATTATGAAGAGCAGTATGGAGATTCCTTTAAAAACTAAAACTAGACCTACCATACGATCCAGTGATACCACTCCTGGGTATCTACCGGAAGGAATGTAAGTCAGGATACAGTAGACACCTGCACACCGATGTTCATTGCAGCACTATTCACAATAGCCAAACTGTGGACACAACCCAGATGCCCTACAACTCATGAATGCATCAAGAAATTATGGTATATGTACACAATGGAGTTTTACTCAGCCACAAGGAATAATGACACCATGTTAAGTGAAGTAAGCCAGGCTCAGAAAGACAAAAGGCGCATGTTTTCTGTCTTATGTGTTAGACAGATCCAAAAGATAAACATATACACAAAAAACAAAGATGATCTTATAAAAACACTTACGTAGAACATGTTTGTGACAGTGGAACTACTCTACGGAACTCAGGGGAGGAGAGAAAGGAAAAGAGAATGACAGAGCATCAACAATATTGAAATACACAAGGCACCAGTGGCTCACGCCTGTAATCCTAGCTACTCAGGAGGCAAAGATAAGGAGGATCAAGGCTCAAAGCCAGCCTGGGCAAGTAGTTCACAAGACCCTATCTCAAAAATACCTATCACAAAAAAGGGCTGGTGGAGTGGCTCAATGTGTAGGCTCTGAGTTCAAGCTCCAGTACCACCCCCCCCCACACCCAGTATTTCCATTGCACCTGTGCAAGCAGAGGGCACTACGGTGGGGACTGGAAGCTGTTGAATGATGGGGGTGGGAGGGAAGGGGGAAAGGAGAGTAACAGAAGGGGTTGAACAGGCCAAAGTAAAGTACACTACAGTGGGATACTTCTGAGAAACCCTCTGAACACTGACTTAGAAATTAATAATGAAAGACTGGACTGTAAAATAGGTACAGTGGGGGGGGTGCTAGTGGGAGGAGGAGGGGGAATGGAGGAGATGAAGGTGAGGGAACATGGATGATGGGCTTCACATACACACATGAAACAGAATGATGAAACCTCTTGCAATTGCTTTAAGTGTGGTGGGAAAAGGGTTGCAGGGGGGGACGTTGGGGAGCAATGTAACCAGTATACAACATGAGGCTAATCTGAACTGTCACGATGAATCCTCTCTGTACAATAAATACACCCTAATAAAAAATGGAAAAACATATTTTGCTGGAATCAGACTCACAGTCTATGGTAGGCA